AAAATAACCATTTTAGTAACAATATAGCATTAAAATATTTTTATAGTCGCTAATTCCACTCCTACCTATAAACCTAAACATTTATGTACAGTATAAGAAAAACATGACAGACAGATAAATGCAATTCATGTACAATTATTTATTTATTGCAAAAATGTCAAAAGCAGTACCAAAAGTAATCCAAATTACGATGCGTTGCACCCGCAGTCCTCTCTGGCGGAATACAGTAGGTTTGTGTGATCCAGAGCAGAATTTATGTTGTTAATCGCAGAAAATATTATCCAGATAATTTTCCCGATCCACTCCGTGAACTGATGAAGGCGCGCGCGCATCATTCAAACACACCTCACCAGAAACACGTAAAAGTTGTTTCATTTCATAATTATGTTGCGTTTTTGGTGTATTTTATAGTTCTACTGTTAGTCACAGCATGTCGGAGAAAACGCCCTTTGTGGCCTATGACAATCAAAGTAAACATTACATGACAAGTAAAGGTTAAACGATTGCAGAAATGTTATTTATTTTAAGGTTTAAAGTGAAGTCGTGTTTAACATTATGTAGGCATATTCTTGGAAACAAGCTGGCAGCAGAAATCACACAACAAAACGAAATGTTATCATTTCATAAGTAAATGAGTAAACAATTTAATAATGCAATTGAAAACAAGGTAATTCATATGACAACTAAAAACTAATAACATTAATGCCGCGATTTCAATATTCATAAGGATTCATTTTTAGGTGTCGTCAATACGTCAGTTTTGTGTGTTTAGATGCTGAAAATACGTCAGTATTGTACGTTTTAGTGCCTGTAAAAACGTAAGTAAATGTACGTTTTATTGATCCACATGTTACGTAAAATACATACGAATTATCATGAGATCACGTTGGATTTACTCACCATCATGTTGTTGCAAAACTTCTGTGGAACAAAATAAGGCATTGTGAGAAAAACTGGTCAGACAGTGGAAGTCAGTGGGCTCTGATGTTGTTTGGTTCCTCAACGTTCTTCAAATATCTTCGTTTGTGGTCTGCAGCAGAAAGTGAAAATGATGAAAATGATTATGGACAATCCCTTAGTGATCATGATAAATAGTGTTTAAATCCACAAAAGTTATGGGCATGTTTAGTTCCACTCTTAAAAATGAAAGTTCAAAACAACCTGGAAAGTTTCCATTAATGTTAAAAGTTCTTCATGAAACCATCAATGCCAATAAAGAACCTTTATTTTTAAGAGTGGATATCTCAAGAATAATTGAATAAACTTTATTACACTCTTTATGACCCCTACTCTGATGAACTTACAACTGTGACTCAGAGTCAGACTTGATAAACAGTTTTTATATTAGGTCATTATGTCATCAGACATGACCATTCACAATATTTTAGGACATTACGGATGTGACTGGTTCTTTTGTGAGTGGTTCTTTCCATCAGTTCACTTCCTCCATTTTTTTTTTGGTTTTACAGCTTCACATGCAGAACTTGGTATTCAGCTCAAGAACTAAGACAGAAATGTTCTTTGGAAAAGCACTTGCTAGATTATGATAATTAAGTCCATTACAGTGAACATCTGAAATTTTACAGCCACTTTTATACATTGTAGATTGAATAATGACCTGGGAAAACCAGAGGTTGCTTAAGTGTGTGTTATTTTCCCACAATAAACATCAGCTTGTGTGTAAAACACATACGTTTTTAGTTGCAGGTATTTCCTGATCTGCATCTGTTCTTTTCCTTTTTTGTTTATTTTTTTTTAATTGCGCAGAAAATAGAGACTCTCGGACTAATGAAAAAGTAATGGGTGTCCTGTTGTTCACCTTTACGGGCAGAAACTCTGACAGGGTCCATGTGTTCATTTAATGTGCTCCTTTAATTGGACTTTTGGGGAAGGGAAGAGAGGGATCCTTATAAGGCAAGACTGCAGGGAAACATTTATCTGTCAGTTTGGTCATATATTACATTCCATTGTGTGGTCACTGTAATGTAGTCTGCACAGGCCTGAGAGATGTTATTTCTTTGATAAAGTCAAAGTATTCCAGAAATCAGTGTTTGCTTATCCAACTTTTGCCACAAGTTGTCACAGATGGATTATGGGCACCTGATCTGAAGAGACTATCTGTTGTGTGCATTTTCTTTTGTTAAATTAGTGCTGGTAATGGCTGTGTAATGGCATGAATGCCGCCACAAAGTCATTTTTACGACTTTTGTGATGCACTCTCTGAAGCTTCCAAGGGCGTATCAGTGAGAAAATGTCAGATGCAATGGATCGTCTGTGTTGAAGATAAATTTGTTGTTGTTGTTGTTTTTTAAACATGAATGGTACAATCATTCTAAAAGCCCAAATTTGTAGCTTCACCATACAAGCAGTCTTATAACATGATGAAATAATGGTGAATATTTTTTTATTAATAGCAGTAGATTTTGTTTTCTTGTTTGACCCTGTCTGTCTCTCTGTGTGGCTCCAAAAGTCATTAACATCCTCCAGTGCACTGCGATCACACTGAGATCTGAGGTCTAATATCCTGAAGAGCATGTCCAAGTGTGTGTTGACTTTAGACTATCAGTCACATGAACTGAGGAAACATCGCCTGCAACGCTTGGACTCACATCAACACCTTAAACTGCAAAAACAACACTGACAGATTGCATAACAGCAGTCAGATGCTTTAATGACTATCCTGAAATGACTCAACAATAGCAGGAGGTTCTTCTTGAGAAACATTTCAAAGAAATGCTTGATGATCCTCATTACCTGTTGAAGCAATCTCCACAATATGCTGAAACACATTCTCACAGGTGTTGAGAATACTATTAAATAGCAGGGGCTGGTCTTACCGAAAAACACCTAACTCAGAATCCATTTAGTAACCGTTGTAAGTTTATTGAGGAAATACTCAAGAATTAAGAGGTTTCTGTAATACAGTCCCAAATGGAATCTGCGCTCCCAGAACTCCACGGAAAGCTTCGGAGATTTCCACTGAATTTAAACATGCATTATTATGAACTGCCCTAAGCGTGTTTGTTTATGAAATATTTTGGCTTTTATTACGCTATCAAGTACCAAACAGCAGCTTAATCAGCTATTGGCATTTTGCCATTTTTTGCATTAATCCCACAGATTTCCACCAAAGTTATTACAGAAAAATAAAACAAAAGTCAAAATAACTGATTGGTTTTGAAATTAAATTCTAAACAATTTTAAATTGTTAAATTTAAATATAATTCTTAGATCAAATCATGGATGAGCTTTAATGTCCATTAATATCTATGACAATCAGTTTATACGGTAGAAATATTAAAGTATTAAATCATTAAAATGCAATGTTTATGCAGTTTGTAGTGATATCAGTGTTCTGTACCTAAAAAGGTAAAGTAATTTTACCAAATGTTCTGTCATTTACTTAAAGGTGGGGTAAGCGATTTCTGGTAGCCAATGTTGACATTTGAAATCACCAAAACAAACACGCCCCTACCCCAAAAGGGTCTCACGCCTATTTTGATAGCTCCGCCTCACACATACGTATGCAACCCAGGCAACGATTGGTTCTGTGAAACAAATCAAAACCAATGTTACACCGTGTCTACACTGGACGTGAGTGGCGCGGCGCGACATACTTTTTGCCTTAAGCCTTCTTTTGTTCCGCAGACATCTTCCTCTTTTGCTTTTTATCCGCCATCTCTATCTTTCTGTCGCTCAGCTAATGTCCGTCCCGTGCACTGAACGCTCTCCTCCACATCATGAGTAAAGTACCGCGAGAGCGATTAGACAGCATTTTAAAT